GATTTATCCCTCCAAATAATTTTTAATTCTCCTTAATATTCGTTTGAAAATCTTCTTAAAATTCTTAAGACAATTCTCCAAAGTGCCAGATACTGATGCTGGAATATATTGAAATTTTAAGAACTTTCAACATGTTTGAAAACGCAGATTATTCTATTATATTTAAAAATGCTGTTAATTGTTTTTTAAAAGAATGCTTGATTCGATTCCCTTGATATTCTTGTTAGAAATCCCTTGAAATAGGTATAACAGCTTCCTTGGAACTATCCTCTAAATTATTTTCAGTTTTCCTTAGGAAATGAACTCCATATCCTGTTGAAATGAGCCTTAAAATTCAAGTAGAATTTTCCCCAAAATTCCGTTGGAATTTAAAAAAAAATCTGGTGAACTTTTCTATGACCGCTCCCATTAGTAATCTTATCCACGAATGCCACCAGAACTTTTTTTGATTGTTATTAGCCCACTAGCGTCCATTGCAATGACAACTAGTTTGTTATACAACCATTCCATATGAAAACGATCTAGTGGTTCTCAGAATTTCTTAAAAAATTGTAGTTTTGTTCCTTATCACAAAATAGAAGACCTGCATTTTTTTAAATTTTGACATTAGGGTGACCATTTCCATATTAAGGTGGTCCAAAAATCGATTTTTATTTCAAATGCGACTAGAAAATAAATATAGATGATGTGACTCTGTAAGCTATGTATCAATGGAGACGCATGGTAGTCTAGTCGCATAGAAGTAGGGTAGAGCACTACTTAGGCCTAATCGCCCATTTTGGGTCTATCGAGCAGAAAACTTCAAATAAATTTATGATTTCAGAGTAAACAAGTCAATTATGCGTTTGTTACGATACTTTAATCCATAAGCTACGAAACGAAGTCAATGAGAACGCGTGATATGAACGTTTGCACCCATTATTCTTAAAAAGAAAAGAAGCGCTCCGACCGATTCCATTTTTATCTTCATCCGATAGGCCGAAGTGAATTCACTGGCGTTTCAATGGCGTTTCAATGCATTAGGCCGAGTTTAGAATCCGTAGGCCGAGTTTGGCGTCAAGAAGCAGTGTTTTGACAATATCTCAACGATTGGTTTCTCTATATCAAATAAATTTGGAAGTCATCAGTAATAATAACATTCCGTTTGGTGCTAATCTGCGCTAGATTAAGAGAGACTAAGAGCGGGTTGTGCTTAATTGGCCGGAAATGGGGTAGTTAACCCTATTGAGCAAAACCCAAAACTTGATAACTTCAAAAAAATATAACTCAATAACGAAAAAAAAAACACATCGCTTATTTTTTGATATGCTATTTAAGAAGTCCTTAATTTTCAAGGAAAAATATTAGAACAAATTGCGCCCCTCTGTCTACCATAGAAAAACAAAAACAATCAATCTTTTTCAAAATACTAAATCCTTATTTTTAAATATCATTGTACTTTTCATAAAAAAAAATTTTTAATTACCTTTCATTTGATGTTTTGTTCCTTGAAACCCAGTTATAAATTTTTGAAAACCTTGATTTTTTAAGAAGGGATTTTTGAAAGAAAGTGATTTTTGAAAAAAAAATCAATGTTTTGGACCATCCTTACATGTTAATTGTCACCCTAATGATAAAATAAACAAAAAAATACTTGTCTAATATTCTGCGATAAGGAACACAAGTTCCAACTTTCACAACATTCTGAGAACCACTATACATAGGCGTAGCCAGGGGGGTCCCTAACTCAGCCCCAAAACATATATTTTTTAGATTTAATGTATCTAGAAAAAAAAGTTTAAATTTTTAGTTTAACTAGCTTTTGTCAACTCTTTTTTTTAATGTTTATCTTCCACATTTGTTTGAGTTTCCGAATCAAATTGAAGTAAGATTCATTATTTCAGTAAAATCGAATAAAAAAGCAACAACATTTTTTTTCTTGATACTGACACGACTCATGATTCTTGGTTTTTGTTGAAGGAATAAGTACAGATTTTAAGATTTCAAAACATTTTGTTCTTTAAATCCAATTTGAACTTTGAATTTTTTCCCTTCCATGAAGCTCCAATGACTCTAAAACTTTCCCAAGAATCTGACATATTGCAATATTTTCAAAGTTCTTATAATAAGGTTGATTATCCAGTCTGACACTTCAAAGATTGACAATGTTCATAATCATCATAATTGGGTGGAAATCAAAATAAAATTGTCGAATTTTATGACTTTTGTTTTATTCTTTATACCAGGATGGTCTCAAAACAATCATAAGTGCCATTTTTTAAATCTAATTCCTAACCCTAACATCTAAAATGAAATGTTTCTAACAAATGTTCAAGTTAATTATAATGATGATTACTGAAAAACTATTATCGAATGAAATGGTAGATCTCTACCAAGAATAAGTTTTTATACATAATTTTGTGAGTTGTTAAAGATAAATAGGTGAGATGAGATGAGCAATTGGGAATGTCTTCGATTCAAAATAATAAATCTTAAAGTATTGAACGTGCACCAAATTGTAGAATATTTAAATCATTTTCATGCAAAAAAAAACGCGCAATATCTTTATAATTATACGTTTATTGAACATTTAAAAAAATTAGGAATACTAAAGATGTTTAATCAATTTGCTTTGCTTAATTGTCAGAGTCACAAAACATTGTAAAATTTTCGTTTAGAGTTTATTATATGGACAACATGAAATCTGTTTTTTTGGATCTTAATTTCTTGCAAGCTTTAGATTCCTTAAAAAAATCGTAAAACCTATTTATCGCTTTTCCACCCTGGTTAATTATTAATTATGGTTTTCTTCCTTATGTTATTGAGCATGATTTCCATCATCTTTATCAATAATTTGAATGATATTACTTAAAACTTGTTACTTAGAAAATTCTTGTTAGGGGTTTCTATGGAAATTAAAAAGATTCGGGAGTGAAAAATCAGAGGATTCTTAGACTTAAAACTAATTCATTTTAATACGACTAGAAAAAAAAAACTTTAAACTTGAAGACAATCCCCAGAGTTTTGAATGGTTCTGGCACCCTGGATAAATTATTTATAAACATGTTGTATTTTTATACAAATTCATAAAATAACACTGACATATGCCGAAGTATGACTGCAAATTCAGTTTCGGTTAAACGACGATCGGCCTAGATCCATACAGTATAATGGTGTAAAGTTAATCGGCGTCTAACCTAATTCACCATAAAAAAAATTGCCCTCCCCCCCCATTCTAAACCTGACTACGACCTTGCCACTATACCGTTTAGCAATGGAATGGCTGTATAGCTGTAATCACCTCATTCTTATCAAATTTCCATGAAACAGACTGAACATTAATGCTATGACGGCTTCATCAATACCATTGCCTATTATCGTCAGGGTGTAAATAAAGACATTGAGCGTTCAATTTCAGCCGACAGATGCTATGATGCAAGATATATCTTCATGCAAAAAATTAGCTCGATTGAACTTCATCTACCTGCTCCTACCTCCTCGTGTTTCAATTTATTTCAATTTATTTATTGCATATCAGCTTATTACGTACTCTCAACTTAGTGTTCTAGATACATTTCCACATTTTTTTCCTTGATTTGATTTCCGTCGATCTTGGTTTCCGTGCTGAGCACCAATGCTACTGACGCCAGGGAGACAGCTCCCACACCCATCAACTCATGAACCGGGGACCAACGGCTTTACTTCCCGGAAGGCGTGATCAGAGATTTTATGACACCGAAAATCCCGGTGCCGCCGACTGGGGTTGAACCCAGGCCTGCTGGGCTGAGAGGCAATAACGCTTACCACTACACCACCGGCGCCGCTAACTTCCACAGTTATTAATTGAAAGCTTTCGATGCCTGTTTCAATTTTGCAATAGTATAATTGTGTGGTATGTTCTATAACACTCTTTGCCCTGGAAAGTCGAGAAATTTTCCCCCTCCAGCATGGTATTGCTTTGTAGCTGCGTCTACGGAACATATTTTAATAAAGTATCAATAGTAATAGGGCAGCTTCAAAATTTGGGGTATCGTCAGCGAAGAGTATTGTAATTCTATTAATTTCAGGAAAATTTCAGAAATATTTTGAGAACCTCACAGAAGTTCATGGATTTTTAGGAATGTTGAAAGGTTCTTAAGATTGTTGAATTCAGGGAAGTATCAAGAGCTATGGAGAATTGAATGGATTTTAGAGAAGTACCGTGTACTTCAGGGAAGATCAGAAAACCCCAGGGCAGTTCCAGGGCAGTAGTACACACAATTTGAAGAAATTTCAAGGAATTGTTAAACATCCAAGAATTCCAGAAAAATCTCGGGGACTTCAGGGAAGATCCATGATCATTAGGAAAATTGAGGGAACCTTAGGTAAATCCTGAGAAATTCAGGGAAGTACAAATATTTTAAGGAAAGTTCCATAGGCATCAGGATAGTTCTGAAAACATTGAGAGAACTTCAAGGCAGTTCTATTAGCTCCAGCGAAACTTTAGTAACTGTGAGACAAGAATTTCCGGGAAACCCAGAGAAATTCACGAAAGTTTAGAGATTTTTAAGGAAGTTACGTGAACTTCAGAGTAATTCCGAGAACTTCAGGAAAATTCCAGAATCTTCAGGGCTGTTCTATCAGCCGTTGTAAAAATGTAGGAAGTCTATGCCTTTGTCTTACTTTTACATCTGGCTGTAGCAAATAACAGTCACGTTTTGGTCTACTGGTACCTGTTGGAGATTCATGTCTCAAATTATTACACGATCATACTATTGTGCGTACTATTTAATAGAAATCAACAATACTTCTTCGAAGTGTGTAGTTCAATTAAATGTTCATTGTTTCAGATCGTTCCATTTAGCAATGCTCTTCCCATGGTGCTACGCCCTTTTTATGATATAATGACGTTCCCAATTTTACAATTTGATTATTTCGCAAAAGGTGTGAAAGTCATGCTGCTGAGAACGGCAACCATACAAACAAAAAATGCCACAAGTAAAATATAATGACAGACAAACCACCAATAACAAGGTACTCACCCAAAAACGCCAACCGCGACCGCAGCTTCCCGCAGGGCACGTCCTTGTTCCATATCACGCAGCGCCTCCGGTCTGATTGTTGCCGTATTACGTGGTTGACGCTCATTTTGGACTGCTACTCGCGTGAACGATTTCCACCGGTTGCCGGAACCAGCATGAACGCATGTGAGAAAGGAAAAAAAAAAATGGAAGACAAAAGGAAAAACGCCTCAATCAGAATCATGGGCCGTGGAACTGTGCTGCATGCGTGAGAGATGAGCGACATTTTTATGCATAATTAATTTTCTCTGATGATGTGATTTACCCTGCGGATTTTTTACCGCTCCTTTTCTGACTGATGGGTCGGTGTGGAAAGATTAACACTCTTCAAGGGTTAAACAAGCGATGCAACAAACGGACACGTGCCACCAACTCGAAGGGGTTACCCATCTAGGTGGTCTCATCAAATATTCCAAACCTGCTGCTTCTGAGCTCGGCAGATCTTCGAAATTCCAAGCAATTATTATGCACATATACACCCACCGGGGAGCTGGTGGTCGGTTTGCTCATAAACAGCATTGAACCAATTTGCAGTAAATAGCGTTACAATAATTAGTGGCTTTGTAGTCTGTTTGCTGCAGCGGCGACATGTGTGTTGAGCAATCAGGGGGTTGACGCGTGTCTTACACAAAGTGTAGCACACTGCCGCTCAACGAGAATAATTCGCCCTGGCTCCTCTAGCTCGTTATCGATGCTTCACTGAAACCGGGTCACCTTTCCGTGGTGGATGGGAGATCATTTGAATAAACAACAATTGTGTGGTACTTTGACGCTCGATAAATGTTTGAAAAGTTTGGAAAAGTGTGTAGGGTTTGTGGTGTTGACTTAACCTAGACAGAGCGTATGTATTTTGGTGGTGTTTGTTTGGTTAGAAAGCGAAACTGATGAACCTGACAGTAGTTAAATTTTGAAAAGCACACATAACGATTGTTTCATTAACATCGAACTCTTTAGCAATTGATGATGGTAGTTGTAGCAATCCAACTTGTCCCCCCTTTTGGGTATAATATCTGCTCCTTTCAAATCTTGGTAATTTACCAGTGCTTAGCTACCATATTTTAGTAACTCGATTGGCACTACTGTTTACCTAATATTTGAGCTAAGAAGTCGCATTTTTTCTTCTTTTGGCGCCACATATACAAGATCAAAATGGCACTTACGTGATCAAAATTTTGGCGTCAATAAACATTCGATCATTTGTAAAGTTGATACTGGTAGGGCCTGCACAATTCCGACTTTTGCTCGAGACGACGAGAGTCATTTGCAAGAACTCAGATCGGTTTGCCCTACTAGCTCTTTGTCCAACCCTACAGCAGAATCCACCTCCAAGGATGTCCAAGCCATTCAATAAACTTCGTTTTTAATGTTCTATGCCAAAAGCTTCCCAAATTCGATTTAATAGCCTAAGAATACAGTTTTGATTGAACCTAAGCTTATAGTGCTTTGACTACTCTAAACGGAACTATCAATTCTATACTTTCTCCTCATCTATCGTATAAAAATTACCACTTTAGTTTGTTATTTGAAATTAGCATATTTAACTAAGCTAATAGTGTTTAAAAGTAATCGAAAACCGTTTTATTTATCATGCAATAATATCATTAATTTATATTATATTTGATTTCCAAAGCCTAAACACTAAAATGGTGTATTTTTAGTTGCTCTGAGACTGACATATCTAATCTAATCTAACACCAACACAGCAAGTTCATGAAAGCATCCTGGAGAATAAAAAATATACCTCCATCACTTTTTTTTCTATTTGGTATATGTTGCACATCATAGATGCGCAAAATTTATCATAACGGCTAGGCCTACTGTGCAGCATTCGAGGGGCAAGATGATTTAGAAACATCAGACCTGTTTAAATCCAAGATTTCAACACGATGCTTCAGAATCCAATAAATGGATGAAACGTGGACATCTCGTACCGTACACTCCGTTGTATTGTTATTTATAAATCATTTGTCGTTGGGAGCATCTAGTCTAAAAAGTTTAAGTGATGTTCCATTTTCTTCTAGCGGTTGGGACCTGAGCACTAACTCTTGTCCTAGCCCTATATGGCATATGGTTATAGCGCCATTACTCGCTTTCTGAAAAGTGAAGAAGGGAAGGGAAGGAGAGGAAAAGGACTTGGGAAAAGGAAATGTGGAATTCCTTTCCTTATTAGTATTGGTTTCGTCAAGTTTTATAAAAACCATATAAATCATGTTGACTTGGTCAGAGGTATTATTATGACATTTGAATAAGATTGTCTTATCATTTGTTCAGGCTATCATAACAAACTATGACCGACGTGACGATTGTTTAAGCCCTGGTTAAACAAGTTAAAACACGTTCCCGAAAGTAGTCAACAATGTATCCCAAACTGGATCAAGCGTGCGCCCTATTTTTCTAAACATTCCGACGCGTTCCGCCCAATATCTATCAATTATTTACGGTTTGATATATCCTAATACTTCCCCCTCCCCTTAACTGGAACAAGCTCACCAAATACAATCACCATGGCAGCACCAACAACTACATACTCGAGTCTTGTCACGATTAACAAGACATTAAAAAAAACAAGGTCTAAAGTGGGTTCCCCTGTTCACTGAAAACTCCTGTTCCCCTCCTGTTCAGGACTAGAGTTCGGTGAAAATCTTGTTCCAGTAACACAACACGAAAAGGTGATCTACCAGCGTTACTGGATTGAAAAGATAAAATGAACAAAAAGGAACGAACTCACCAAGTTTAGCCATTTGACCACTTTGTCAAGCAGTTTTGGCGTGACTTTCTACCAGCGATTTTACAAATCTGGACCAGCTAATTTAATTTTTTTTCATGAAACGCACAAATGTTGGCTACTTTTCTCGTGGTTCTAGAAGAAAAAATCTCAAAATAATGTTTTATTTCAAAGTTCGAGTGGTAGTAAACGTCATTTTGACTGCTCGAATAAAGTGGTTAATTGAACCTAAAGGCAGCTTGAGATGTGTTGATGGTGTTGACATTGCACACAGATACATCAACACACTACAAAAACTATTTGCTTCGTTTCCTGGGCCGTGGGTAAAAGACTTCTCTTCTTCCTGCTTGATCCGGATCTATTCGCCGTTCAAGGGAGCTCCACTGCGCCGACGGGAAGCTGGAAATATCCTCGTGGTCCTCCAGCGTTAGTCGTCTGATTCCGGCTGCTGTTTTTCACCCGGTGGTGCTACTGCTGCAAGTGCTTCTTTCTTGCTGCCGGCTGACCAACGGAACGCGTTTTGCACCCTTCGCTCGCGTTCGGCCCAAATTCGGAATTTCATTATTTCAACACTCGATAAACCGCGCATCCGACCCGTTGCCACTGCAAGTCCGTAGTTGAAAATCACTCGAGTCAAAATGTAGAAAAATTTCACATTTTTTTTCTGAGACTGACATATACGAGCGTCAATTTTGACATAACGTTGAGTCATAGGGTAAACGCTCCTATAGTTGCGGTATGTTAGAAGCGTTAGGTTCCTATAGTTGTGTATGGAGACTCCGTACACAACTATAGGAACCTAACGCTTCTAACGTACCGCAACTATAGGAGCGTTTCCCCTAACAGATGAGAAATTCAGCTTAATCAAACCAGCTTAATCTCGCAGCACTTAATATTACGTGACATGGTTGTTTACGTCTCATCTTGTATGTGACAGATGGATTCTGTCATGTGTTAAATTAGAAGCGTGCATTTTGGTGGGTTTAACTTTGCATGGCAATTAAAAAAAACATTTCCCTTTTCCTACTTCCTCCTAATTTGTGATGTCATTCGTTAAGTGAGGTCCCTTTTCCCTACCCATGGACATGGAGGTAGACGGTACTGAAGCAAATTTTCAACGATGATGATTTCCTATAGTGGCACATATCACCTTCTTGATGATTCAGTATGCCTCAAACGATTAATTCTTGGTTGTTAATAGAACTTCCTTGATGAAATCGGCTGCTTCACGCAGACTGAGCACTGTTGATTATTTTTTTCTGTATACAGAAGAACTGGAAGGGCTTATTAGAAACTTCTAACCAATAAAGTAATGATCTTCTAGTAAATTTTGCATATTATTTTATTAATGTTTTATTTTATTTAAGCATATTATTTTTGTTACAGTTAATTAGCATTTGCATACCATACAAGAGTTTTAATATTACATGCTCGTTTTTGCGTAAAATAATCAATATTTATTTTACTTGTAATAACCATTGAAAGTTAAAAAAACAGCAAAACAAGGTTATCTTCCATTTCGCTGACAACCCAATTTCATTACTTCATTATGATGGCTACCAAGCCTTTGGGGGTTTTTCCTTATAAGAGAGTTGTAAAAATTTTTCTCTTTTAGCTTACTTAAATCTTTGGTTTTTATTAGTTAGGTAGGTTCCGATTCAACACATTGTAGTTTCATTTTTATACCTATGATCTTGACTTTTTTACCTAGGGGATGAGTACTTAAGGGGGTTAGATTTTGATAAGTTCTTTAGTGGGAATGACACTGATGAAGACTGCACATTGCAGTCGAAATACGTATCTGTCATGGATACCAAAATTAAGTGGAATTAAATGGAAGATAACCTTTTTTTTGCTGTTTTATTTAGCATTCCGCTACAACCCCATTTCGTTTTTTTCTTCAATTTTGTTTTTTGTGACCTGAAAATTTTCCCAGTTTGGTTAGAAGTTTCGAAGCTAACGCATGTTCACAGGTCTAATAGAAAGATAGGCAGAAATCGTGTATCATGAAGAATGGTGGCATGCAGGGTTACTTCCACTCACTTGCTATAGATGAGTGATTTTCGGAGTTTTGAATTCGTTAGATGTTGTAATGGAGATTTATTTTGTTGGATACGGGAGGAGATTGGAGGGCGGGTGTTTGACGCATAGAGCCTGTCAGTTATGCTTTCAGAGTGTCGCAGTCAGCGGTTTTATGATTCGTGAGCGCTCGCGATTCGTAGAATCGTTGATTGTGACTGCAAGTGGATCTGGCGGGTTTTGTGTGTCGGACGCTTGCTTTTCGGCCTCTTCTTGAGTCTAACATGTGCAGAGCATCATTATAGCGTCTAACGGTTTAGAGATTTCTGGTT